CCCACATCATACAGCTCGCCCAGCAGCGCTTCCCAAACAAGCAGTTCGAAGGAAGGGTATCGATCGCGGCCAAGGCCATCTCACAGCGACACTTCGCTGTCTGCAGGGATGAGCAGACAGACCCCCTGCAACTAGACCCAGTCGTCGACGTAATGACTCCCAACTGGGTAACTTTGCTTTAGCTGTTGATCGCGGTGGGAGGCCATATCGACGTTGGAAAAGTTATTGCAGTCATGCTGATTGGCTACATTTGCTGCTAGAGCATAGTGGGTTAGTGATCTGCTAGTAGTTCCGGGCTAAGATCGGTCGGGTAAAGAGCGCTTTTCGTACGTCATGCACAGAGGACTGCAGGACACGACACGTGAGACGTCTCGTTCAAGTAAGTTTTGAGAAGGTGTTGATGGCGGCGAAACTGTTCACGATAGTTCTGTGAGGTTCTGATTGTCCATGGTTACACAAGGATCGCAAGTTGCTCACGATCCAAGATGGCTCCGACAGCGAAGTCGTGCTGTAAGTCCAGAGCCCGCAAAGACCGTCGCTTCAGTGAAGAGAACCACGTATCGTTTCTATCGAGGCAAGATTTGAATATGTGTAGATTGTGGCACACAGCCTGTTCACATTGCGCAGTTGGACGCCGCCTTGAATGTTAAGCCGCTCAATTGGTGGAACACATGGCAGATTCCAGTTCAGGCAGCTTTGCAGGAAGACTATGGGTCGTGGCGTAGTTCGCCAGCGTCAGATCGTTCCTGCTTGTTACAGGAACTTTGAGTTTGCTATTGATTGCGGCTGACCTTGAGAGTCTGCACTTTATCCACAGGCGGGCTGGGTTGTGGGCGAACACTTCTGATGCTCTCGAGCGGCTCATGCTGTCCAGTTTAGAGTAGTGTAACAATCGACATTACAATTCAACGTCTTCGTCGTTGCTCAGGTCTATGTTTCTGAGGAAGCTGCATACGGATCGTTCTCAGAACCGCCCTGGGGGTGTGGAACCGACGAACACAGTGATCCATGGACGTTCCAGGATGGCAGCTGCCCTCCGAACAGAAGCACCAATCGCTAAAATTCAATGACGAGGTCTATCCACCCATCCTTCCACTTCAGGCATGTTTGCAACAGCTGTAGATTGCGGCCAAGCCTGCGTTCGCGAAAGATTGCTTTCAGATTCCTGTCGACTTGATTGGCTCACCACAAGCCTCAAGTCCGAGACAGGCAGGTTTGATACTCACCGTCGAATGCGGCAGCAGCTTCAGCGATTTTTCGCTTTCACAGGATAACATATCTGATTGGCCTGCCACAAGCGTGACGTCCCAGAGAGGCAACTTTGCGTATGCCATCGAATATACCATCGAAGGCACAGCGATTTCTCGCTTTCGTTGACAGCGTTCGATGGCACACTTCCTAGCGTCGTGTCCCAAAGAGGCAACTTCCAATCGACTGTTGAACGCCCTGAACGCCTGAGCGATTCTTCGCTTTGAGAAGATGAGTGGCCTGGTTGGCTACCATGAAGTCATGTCCGAGACGGGCAAGATTGAAATAGCCATCGAAGGCAGAGCGACACTTTGCTTTCACAGAGAGCACTGACCCACTGGCTAGATGGGCCCATAAATCCTAGCGGCAGTTCGAGACGGGCAGGTTTACATTTATCGTCGAACGCTTCAGCGATTCTTTGCTTTGAAGAATTTGCCAGTCCGATTGGCTGGTACACCGTAGGTGTCAGGTCCAAGAGAGGCAAGTTTACAACTGCTGTCGAAGCCACAGCGACTCTTTGCTTTCGCTGTGCCTTAGCGTCAGTCAGTACTCCTCTCCTAGGCAGGTTTGGGAACAGGTATCGATTGCGGCCAGAAGCCAGCGCGAAACATCGCTGTGACTGCTTTTGCGCCTGGCACGGGCAGATCGAGCTCCAACGACACTATACTGGCAGCGAGACATCGTGAACAGTGCGTTAAACCTTTAGACATGTGGCTTTACTTCACATAGTGCTCTCGAGCCGTCGATTGCGGATGCCGTGGACATTGCTGCTTGGAAAGAAGCACGGCCTGCCTTCCAACCCCCCAACACTGAAAGTGTCATTTGCGAGCAGCAACCCGAGTGGTGGCTACTTGATACCGGTTACCTAGAGAGGTAACTCTACTATCTTGCCGTTGATTACGGTGATGCACGCGTACGGCGTATGCCCTTGCCCCGCGTCCAAGATCCTGCTGTGCCCCTCACCCGCGGTTCCCGCCGCCCCACCACACAAAGAATTTTACCAAGTTTCCGGCCACCGAACTTCCCGATACCATTGAACGCAGAGCAGTCCGCGAGAAAACTGTTGTTATATACGATATAGTTTCAGGTCTCTCCATCAACAACCAGTACAACTGGCCTAATGGCCCAATGGCAAGGCGCTTGACTACGATTCAGTTCGATATCAAGAGATTCCAGGTTGTAAGTATTCACCGCATAGTACACTCGTTCGAGCCACAGCTGACCCCGCCAAAAGCGACCCCTGGTTAGGTCATATTCCTTCTTTTTGAAGTTGTTCAGCAATGGACAAGTCTCAAGAAAATTGGATTTTTCTTTTTTTGCTCCACTGCATCATCACATATTTTCGGCGTCCCTTTAGATCTCCTGCACCTCTCTTTTATACTGCTTACAACTTGTTTAAGCCTCTTAAATCGTTTGCTAATAAAAGCGTTGTGATAAGTAGAATGCATCTATTAGTTGTACTATAACCAGTCGCACCTTCTTCGCATTATACATAGCTTACATACACACAAGAGCACAGTTGTACAACATAACTCCCTGGCAAATGCAACTCTTAAGGCAAGAAAGGAGAACTGTTATGCGGGCGACTAAGAGAAGAGCTGCCGTACTAGACTTTTAAATACGCTGACTTTATTTTGCCATGTAGTCCTCGTCATCTCCTGTTACTTCCTACTCACAACATTCATAAAAGTCTTGAAGACGGCGGTAGGCTATTTACAGCCCTGTCGAAGAAATACCTTACGCCTACGGCTGTACAAGTGAACAAGAGAATACGGAGCTAAGGACGCAGCAACCCGCGACATAAAAATGCACTAAAGTCTACTCACATACCACACCCATATACACTACATGCCATTCCATCCACTGTCATCGTAGAAAACAGCGAATACCTCCTAGGCATCGCATGAGCAGAACACGTTTCGCGCAAAACGACCGTGTCGGTACGAAGGGCAGATCTAGAGTTAGCCAAAACAGAATCAATGGGAACCCGCGATATGGGAAAGGGCAAGACGAATGCGCCTCATCAGACGAAGACGGGTACATGGGCAGTTCGCTTCAATCCCTTTATTCCCCGACTGTCCTCCTAAAATAGCACACGCAGCTCGTGTCGCACATCTATCTTCCTCCTCCGCCCACCGCACACGACCAACAGCCTCGTTGGAGCAGAACTGATGCTCTTCTTCGATGCTGTGGGCAAGACGGTGGGAGATGCGAGAGACTGGGGTACACCCGCGCGCGGGTATGGAGCTTGCGTGTCTCTCTTTATGAAGTCGAGATACAGAGTCTCATCCAGTCTATCTAGCTCAACTACACTTTCTATCACTACATTGTAGCGAAAATGCCAAGTCGCGCATACAGCATATGTCACATGCACTAGAGTGCCTGCACCGATTGTAGATTTGATGTTTTGAATTGTTTAGATATGTACTTGTTGTGTTGATATATATATGCCTCGAAGCGAATGCGGTAAACATGCCGAATCAAATGTGACGGTGAAGTCATGCAATCTAAATCGCGAACACGCGATACGACACGATACGATGCCACGCGATGCGAATGTACCAATATGCTACGCGACGCTGAAAACGCACACAGACTCATTGACTTCAAAAAGAAAGGAGAGAAATTCTTGCGGTCAGCGCTTGACCGTCGTATGCTCCCATCGCGCAAACGCCGGTACCCATGCCCCATGCTTCTCAAAAACGCGGAAAGAAAAGATCTGACGTGAGAAAAAAAGAAAATGGATAATCTGGCAAATGCCGCGAGGCTCCGCTAATATGCGCACGATAATATAGAGAAGAAAACGAACGGAAAGAAAAAAATCAGCTCATAGCCGCTTCGGAAATGTCTCGTAGGCCTTCGGGCAAGCCATTTGCTCGATACAAACATGTAACACGAATGTGCCGGGTCGTGTACCCCCACCGTGTCGCGAGTCGAACCTGGCGGACGGGCGTCTATCGGCGAGACCCGGCATTGCGGATGCCGGGTGGGGACGGGACTTGCGAAAGTGGCATCGTGAGAAAGGTCCCCAGCTTTTGCGCAAGCGAGTTATCGTGACGGGGACAGGTCATTCACCGGACGGAAGGTGGAGTATGGGCGACCGTTGCGCAGCGGAAAGAGGCGACGCCTGCGTGTATGCGACGTGTGACGTCTTGCTCCGCAACCGTGTGTCGTGTGAGTGTGGAAAGCAGGTCACGGGTCCCGATGAACCACCGAGACGTGCGTATCGCCGAGCGACCTCGCGCGGCCAACCTTCCCATGACTGTCTTGACTCCTTGGTCGAGAAACTTGCTTTGACGATGTCTCGCGACCAGAAATATCCACGACACGTGCGACCCCATGTCGCGAGTATCCGCAGCCAGATCCAACGGTGCGGGCTGTGACGTTGTCCTATACCAAGACCAGGAATTCTGCTCGATTGGCGGCTCCACTAGAATCCGCGAGCGAGCGCGCGCTATGCCAAGGCAGGTGATGCGATCCTCGGAGACTCTGAATCCGGGATCGTCGAGCTTGACAGGGCTGCATGTCGCGTCTGCCAATGACCAAGGATCGAATTCCTGCCTGCGCATTTGCGATGCGCTACGTGGGTGGAGCTCGACACGACATGCTTGCATGCATGCATGCGACATTATCGGTTCGTGTCGTGGTCGTGGTGAACGTGTCGAGGGTACCGTACCGAGTGCTGCGTGCATGCCCAACCCAGCCTGTTGACGCAACGAGACGGCCGGATGAAATTGCTAGCCGTAGCGCATTCACGCAGCGGTAACGGGAGTCCATCTAAGCGGCACACCGCTTGCGCCGTGAAGGGAAGGTGCTTTGCTAGACCCAGGCTTTCTTGGCGGCAACCAAATACGCGCCTTGCCGACGGCCTTTGTGTCGAGCTTGCCCACGCGGCGCATGTTCATTTCGAGAACGATGACACGTAGAAAGTCGCTATTCTCGCGTGGCTCGCGCTGCCGGACGGTAGGTGCGTCGGTTGACAGGACGCGTCCTGCTTCGGAAAAGGGATCCGTGGAGCGACTCCGGCGCGACTTTTGCGATCGCCCTCGGCGTTCGTATGTCTGCATTTGGATCATCGGCGCGTGGGGTTCGGCGTCGGCATCGAGGGTAAGAGAGTCGTGTAAATGCATTGACAACTCAGTCGGTGAGATTGGTGAGGGCTGTGGGTTGAGATACCGTCGCAACTCGGGTGATGGCAGGCCTTCGACGTGTTTCGGTCGCATCTCGCTTGTGTAGTTGGGTGCCAACAGCGACCGAGTGAGGAAATCATCCGGCGGAACGCTGGGAGCTGTGAAGTTGGAGAAGGACTTGGCAGCTGACTTGAGTGCTTGGAGTGATGCAGTCAGATTTGACTTGAATGACCTGAATCGTTCGTTTGAAGGTACTGGAGTGACGGTCTCGTTGATGTCTGTCGCAATAATGTCCTCGCATTCGTCCGGGCCAAAATGGAGCAGGGGATGGTCCAAGACGCAGTCCTCCTTTGGTGGTGAAGAGACAATCTTCTCCCTGCGCTCTGGCAGTGACTTTCTGCCCAGGGAATCTGGTGTGCTGAGATTGTCCCAATGCGACGCGAACGAGGGGTCTTCGTAGTCCAGGGAAGGCGGTAGGGTGGATATTGAGTCGCTCGAGATGGACCTAGACGTCAGGAAAGAGCCCTTCTCTTGCTCCATGCTCAGAACGCTGCTGTACTCATCGTCCGACTCGTCCACGCGACCAAGAAGCAGGTCCATGGGGGAGCCGACAAGTGAGGGCGGAGTGTCGGAATCGTCCTGCTTCCACTCCTGTATCAGTTCGTCCATGGATATCCTCCGTTCGGTGGTAGTGCGCGGTCGTCGGCGGGTGGGCATCTTGGGGATAGCGGTAACGGCCAGCAAGGCTGCAACAGCCGGTGGTAGTGCTTTCGCATCGTGGCTCTGTGAATTGCGAGACGGTCTGCCTCCATTGTGTCCCCTCATTCTCACAGTCTGTGTTGAAGTCGCCGACTTGATGGGGGTTCGAGGAGGGATAACGACGGGCTGAGACATGGTTGTAGCCTCGGTATGTGAGAGGGACCCGTTCTTATTCATAGATTGCGTGTTGGTTCCCACAGTGACTGGCATGACACTTCTCGGAGAGGGACTGGATCGCGTTCGCGTGCCCATCTTTTCAGGCCTGGAGCGGGAGGTGCGTGAGGATGGCGGAGACGAGTGCTGGAGGTAGGGAAAGGACCTTGGCGAGTACATCATTATCGTCGGCTTGGGCCCTGAAGGCGTTTTCCCCGTGACTAACAGCTGGGACGATCCAGGTACGGCTGGTGCTGGCTAGGCTGGATGTGACGTGCGGCCGTCGGATTTCTTTACGTTATTGCTGGTTGGCGATTGGACGGGTCTGCAAGGGCAAGTCGCGGGCGACATGAGACTACAGGGTTTACGTGTGCCGAAGATCGCCGACGCACTGCTCTGCTTTCGCACACGAGGGTAGGCAGAGTCAAAAAAGGCGAGGATGCTATGAAGAAGTAAATACTATGGTGGTGGACTCGAGGCGGTTCTTCGGTGGTGATAAGGGAGGATGACGACGTTGGGGTCTCAGGGTTATCGGGCGGCGATAAGTAATAAGGGCAGCGTGGGAGGTCTCCTGTCGGCAGCCTCCCTATCAAGACAAGACACCAAAAGCACACACCCAGGCCAGCTCGCATCCAGGCACGTTTCTCGGACCAGATACTGGCGGCTGAGGATAAGACTGCGTGGCCTTCTGCCAGCGCCACGCCTACTGCTGCGCTGATCACGCTTCACACGAGCATACCAGCTCTCAGCCCCGGTCGGTCCCGCATGCACAACACTCGAGCAGTCGTGATCGCCTTCGGGCATCCCCTGATTGGCCCTAGCCGCCACCTCCGCCTCCGTCAGCCCTGTCGCGTCCTCGCCCCACGCCGGCCGTCTTCTGGAAGCCATCCTTTTACAGAGTAACCAGCACGTTGCGCGCCATCACATGAGACGTTGGGTCTCATAACCTACACAATCACCGGCTTAGCATTCACTCAAAATTCACACTAGCGCACCCCGTCATCATGACTCCCTTCACCCGCGCCTCCCATCTGCTAGGCATCTACGATGACTGTAACGTGGCTTGCAGCTAGGAGTCTGTATGCACGCAGCGCTCCCCGCGGCAAGACGGTCGCATGCCAGCCTGCCTTCCGGTCACGGTTGGCTTGTGTGGAATCGCTCCGGGCCTGTCAGATGTGCTATCCTTATCTCTGTGCCAATATCTCGCTACGTGCCTCTAACTCCATCTAACCACTTCCACCATGTGTCGTGCAGCCCGGCGCCGTCTCGCACGCTAGGCCGCGGATTCCTGCGGGGTGCATGCCCGCTGCCCTCCACTGTCGAGCAAGAAAAGCATGGTGGATGTGGAGTGGAGAGAAAGTCTATTCCCACTGTGCCACTCTACACACTTCCCATACCGGCCCTTTTCTGGACACCAACTTCGTCATTGTCGTCATGTCGTGGCCTTGGAGAGTAGTTCACGGTAGGTAGAACGAAAGGCACGTGTCCTTGTGAGAATTTAGTTCGCGATTGAGGCTCCCCAACGGCCTTGCATAATAGAGCTCTGTCACGGTAACTGCACCTGCTGCTTCGAGCTTAAGGGATCTCTTGTGCGAAAGAGGAAGGAACGGAGTGACCTTCTATCGTGTACCCAAGCTTCCTGTGATCGTCTTGGCCCTCGGCACCGACCCGCCATTGTGCGCTTGCATTGTTTCATGTCAATCATCTTTACTCGCACAGGAAGGCACGACTTGGTGTTGCTTGCCGCCTACGTGACCGCCTTTCGCTAATCAAGGCATTGGATACATGAGTGTGTATTCGTCTACGCGTAGTATGTAATAAAGTTGATGGTATATTACTTCTGTATAGGCGTGCAATGCATCCCAAATTTCGGCATCCTCGTGCATCAGTCACGGCATAGTCGCACAAGTTTTTGCAATGTTCTGGATTCTGTTCAATCGTAATAGTACACGTCTCCTCGCCAACACACAGATCTGCCTTCCACTCACAGAAGGGAAGCCTTATGCACACTTCTCTCGCTTCATCCTCGCACAAGGGAAATTTGAACATGCAAAACGCGCAAACGAGACATAAGCAAGGTAGCGCATGGCGCGCTATCCAGATATACGCTTCCGAGGTCGCCAACGCCGGATGATCCACCACCCTACCGCTGAAAAAGAAGCAAGTGATGTGAAGAAATAAAAGAGCCACCTGGGCAGGTGCATGCTGCGTTACCCAAAACAGGCGCCGCACCGGTCGCATTGCGGGAAGTGACATGCAGCGCACTACCCTGTCCAATGCAGAGTACGTGGCGAGTATCCCAGCCCGCTTGTGCGTGCCGTTGCGGCAGCGAGGATGAGTCGACAAGAAGAGAAAATTTTCAGGGTCCAGTAACGCCGAGCCGCAAAGTATGCACACACGAATTAAGCAAGAGCAATTAGCAGGGCTCGGTGAGCCGGAAAGTGATGAACGGCCGTGGCGGTATAAGCGTCGTGGAGCATGAAAGCCATGCAGTCGTGTCGACATGAGAAGAAAGTGTCCAAGTGGATAGGGTACTTCACTCAGTACCCGTCGCCATCAGTCGTCCAGCCCGCTTCTGAGCCTTCGATAACGCGTACCATGCGGCCATCTTGCTCGGTTAACAGTTCGCCCGTGTCGACGCTCCGTATACCGCGGACCTTCTTGCCCTGGATACGACCTGGGCTGGCAACATGGCCGCCCTCGGGTGTGTAGCGCTTCATCTGCCGCCGGTAGGCGTGGAAGTCGACTTCTTCCTCCGGTACCTCGTCGGACTGTTCACTAAACGTTTCCCAGTTCTCGGAGCCGGATTGCATGGTCATGCCTGTCGCGGCGGTGCCTGTGGACGATGTTTGTGATATCTGTCGGCTACTAGCGGATGATAGTGATGGCGGTGGGTAGGTAGGTGTGTAGCCTCCTCTCATGGTGCGTCCCATAAAGGAGCGGTCGTCATATGGGTCCTCTGGTTGTACGTTGCGCACGATGCTTTCGCTGCGCTCTCCACGGTTGAACTCGAAGCGGTTCATCGGTGTCTCCATTGGTGATGGCTCTGGAGGAACGAACAGATCCTTCATACGTGGGGGAGGAGCCATAGGTGGCGCCATCTTGCGCATTGTGGCCGAATCTTCTCGTGAGAGTTGTGGTCGCTTCTCAGGTGAGCTCCTGCCGTTTGTTGTACCATTCAGTCCCGCACGAGAAGGAATCTTGGAAGGACTCTTTTGGGCAGATGCAGACACCGATGCACCAAAGTTGGGACCCACTGATTGCGCGAAAGTACTACGGGACATGCTTGCTGCGGACATGCTCTGGCCAAAATTCGATACGGGGGTCTTTGATCGGCTGGGTGGCGCACCACGAACTGTTCCGGCACGGCTAGGCGCTGCTGAGGCTCTGCCAACGGTGGCTGGCTTGGTAGGCATACCGCTGTTTGAGGGTGTCTTTGCGCGAGGTGGTGGGGCTGCCTTTTGCGCGGCTGCGTATAGTTCGTCGAGGTATCGGTTGCCGTGGACGAGGAAAGGACGTCCGTATTCGTCTTCCCAGCTCTCGAGAGTAACTCTCAGATCCTGTGATGTGTTAGCTCAGTTCCTGCTCCTTGACTAAGGTGACCTACTGTTTCAATCTTGGGCAGCTCCTTTGCGATGCGCTTTCGCATCTTCTCCTCGCGCAGGAGCTTGCCTGGGTCGCGCCTCTCGCCCTTGTTGCCCCGCGCCATCAGGCGGGTCGCGTCCTGACTCGATTGTGCCAGCTCATCACGTTCCTGGATCAGCTCGCGGTGGCGATCGATCTTCTGAAGTATAGGTAACCGTTGCTCCTTGAGGGCTTCAAGACGTGCGATTTCGGATTCGTGGGCGGCAAGAAGAGCGTCGCTGCAGACGTCGGAGAAGGCGGGCGTGAAGTCGAGCATCTCTTCTTCGGAGAAGTAAAGGGCGTCCCATAGTTCCTGCAGTTGAACGCGCGCCTCCTCGACGAACAAGTGTAGGTTCTGGCGTTTGAGCTCGTTCAACCTGGCCAGCTCATCCTCGTACTCGTTGATGGTGCGCAGGCCACATCCGCGGTTGCTGGTGAGGAATTGCTTGCGCTCGCGCTCCTCAATGCCCAGGCGGTCCCAGAGCTCCTCGATGGTTGTGCGCAGCTGCCCTAACCGTCGTTCGCGACCGCGCTTCTCCTCGACAAGTCGCTCCTTCTTCGCGTTCAATTGGGCGAGATCGTCCTTGTGCAGGCCGAGTTGTTCAGGCGCGTCGCGATGACATTGCACGATTGCGCTGTCCGTTTGCGCTTGTGGTGTGCCGAGTTCTGCCCAAAGCTGGATGATCTCCTGGCAGATGACCTGGACTGTGTTTAGGCGCTTTGTGTATTCCTCGTATACGCGTGTGAATTCGTTGTCGAGCTTGGTGACGTAGGAGGGCGAGATGTCGAAGGAGGGCGAGACTTTCGCGTTGGGCGCCGTTGGCGGGAGTTTGACCTGGACGAAGGACGATTCGAGATGCGACGCATACGATTCCAGGGCTTCGGCGAGTTTCCTGACCTGCTCGAAGCGCTCCTTGTGCATCTTGCTGACCGAGTTGTAGCGCTCCTTCAGACCCTGGAGGCAGCGCGTCAAGGGGAAGGTGATGGCCCGGTCGTCCTGGTCGTCGTAGTTGGGGTTGGGCTTGTTGTCATCGAGTGAAGCCTCCATCTGGCGGATAGTCTTGAGCAGGCGATGCGCCTCTTCTGTCATCTCATGCTTCTCGTTGGTGACCTGTCGCAATTGGTTGTGGAGCGTCTCGGACAGAGCAGAGAACAACTACACAAGTCAGCAATCGCGCGCGCATGCACTTCATCCTTCCTCACCTCTGCTTCGCGCGAGTCGCGCTCATGGCTGGAGACGCCAATGTCGTCGAACAAGCCGTGCAGCTGGCCGATGATGGTGGTGACCTGCTGGGCGAGGTAGCTCGTGTCCATGGTGGCTGCAGACCCGCCAGCGAGATGCGAGGCTCAAACGCGCATGCAATGTGACCGCGTCCAGTGGGGCGGAGAAACTTTGCGCGAGCAATGGGATGCGGTGTGATGAGTCCTGACTCTGACGTGGTAGTGGATAGTAGTGGGGAAGCGAGATGCAGGCGGTCGCAAGAGGCCGAGCAGGAGGAGAAGGCGTAAAACGAGGGAATGGCTCAAACAGCACTCTACTTGTATGCCAGGCCGATGCA